AAATTACGATAATTTTGTTAAAGGATCATGATATATCTTTTTCTTCTTTTTTTTAATATGCGCTAACTTAAGTTATGTTTCTATAATTGAAAATAAAAATGTGATTTAAAATAATTTCGTATGAAAAACGATATGATACATACATTATAATCAATCCTTAGTCATTTTTATGTTATTAAGGATTTTCTTTTTTTTTAGTATTTGCATTTTACTTGGAAATTTGAAGCTATTGCGTGATTAAAATCTTTAAAATTTCCCATCTTCACCATCATTTAGAACTTTTGGTTCTTTAGGAGAATCAATTTCTTTTGCTGATTCTAGAACATTATTATTAGACACTGTTATAATTTATAATAAAAAAATAAGTTTTTTTAAAAAATTTTATTTCAACCAAATTATCTTTTATCACGATAATAGAATGTAATAGTAGTACGCAATATGTGAGGCACAGCACTTTAAAAATAATTACAATTCATTGATAATTAATAAATATAACCAATAGTGATAATTTGAATCAGAAATTTTTTGTTTTAATTAGATGCAAAAATAATTTTTTCAAAATTTCTTTAAAAATATTAACATCGCATTATGAAGATAAAAATTACGAGGCACGTTTTTTGGCATATGCATTACGACAGTCATTTATTATCAACTTTCTTGAAAATTGAATTTAAAATAAAAAGTCTTTAAATTATTGATATTTTGTGCATTGTAATGCAGTCCCCGGCTAATTGCATCTCTAGTAAGTACTAATGATTATGAGTGGTTTCCTTGAGACTTTTGTTGGGGGTGTATGTTGTATAGCGATATGCTTTTCATAAAAAAATAATTGGCCATTTCCATAGGAAATTTTACTTCATATAAAGCTTATATTGCGTCATCAATTTGTATAAGTGCAGCATTTTATTTTTAGCTACTTGATAAATGTAAATGCACTTCGCATAAGAATTTTTTTGTCATTCCTTAATGTATTATATTTTCTGCTCCAGTACTTGTTGATAGAAAACAAAAAGCCAATCAATCATAATGTTTTCTAGATATTTACTTCACCTCTCTGTTTTTACTGCGGCAACAATTAGAGGTATTTTTGGAAATTAAATTCAATCGGTTTGGTTTTTGGTTAGATAAATCTCTCTAAAAAAAATTTTTTCTTTTTTGATTTTTTATTACTGCTGTGCCAAATATTGGATGCGAATGCCGATCAATTTATATTTTTTTATTCAGTCACTTTTTTTATGTCTTGTCTATTCAAGTCAAGTAAAATTGTTTATCGTTCAAAACTTATTTCGAATATTTCCAGAATTTTTGAGTTTCGATGTTTAATTACAAATAAAATTCATTTTTTGTTTAAGTTTAACTTTAGCAAAACCATTTATAAGAAAAAAGTGGCAATAAAATTCTTTATAGAATCAAAATGTGAAAAAAATTATTGTTTTATATCTAAACATTCTTAAACTGAGAGAAATTGTATACACGAAAACATCCTTCAAATGAAATTATAATTTATTTGGTAAGGATTTTTTTTTATTTAAAAAAAAAAAGAAGGGATACATTTCTTTGAATTATACATTTAATTACAATTCAGTTATCAATTGCGAATAATTGGAAAATATTAAAGTAAATTTTGTCATAGAAAATAAACAAATTTAATTGGAGACATAACGAAAAAAAATTGATTATATAATTTGGTGATTACACTGGGTGTGCTGTCAACTTATATTAACAAAATTATATCTGGTCCAGTAATATTTACTATTAAAGATTATTTTGTAATTCCGACAGTTTAAATTATTTTATAATAATCTTCGATACATTTTTATACTTCAATAACTTTTGATTAATCCCCAATATCTTCGCTCCAAATTATACAAAGACATTATAAATTATTGTCTCATTCATATAACAGTTCGTTTTTCCAAAAAAAAAAATAAAATATCAATTATGCTTCAAGTAATCTTTTTGTGCACAGCTCGATAAATAAATACTTTTTTTATTTGTTGTTTTTCAAGAAAGCGAGGTGTCACATTGTTCTTTAGGTTATAATGTATTCATTTAATTTGTCGAATGCTAACTTAAATCGAAGTTATTAAACTTTAAAGATTTAGGATTTTTATTAGGAAAATCGTAATAATCGTTAGCAAATAATTAGGTTCGGCATGTTAATCATCAATAGTAAGTTTTGATTTTTAAATGGTTGACCGCACCAATTATATTATCGAAGGTAACCTCACTAGAATTGAAAATTCAAAGTAAATTTAGCTCCAGCTGGAATTGGACACTGACTTCCAAATATACTTTGTAACAAGAATATGATTCGATATCAATTGTTTAAAACTCTGATAAGGATAAAACTATCGATTCCTCGTGTTATGAACATTGTATCGGAACATTAGGATAATCAAGACAAGCTGCAGCAAACCAACATCTACAGTATATTAATTGATGTAGAATAGCATTGACAATGGAAAGTATAGCAAATAGAATGATGGAGATAGCTGTTCAGAGTTCCTTTTTGATTGTAATAATCGAAGAAATTTGCTTCAAGATTATTGGTTAAAAATTTAAAATAATTAATAATTAAAAAATATCATAGGTTTAAAAAAGAAATAAAATTGGTTTTAAATTCTACAAAGCAATGCACTCGATAGTTCATACGAGTATTGATTATTGTCAAAATGATGTAACTGTTGTAATATAAATATAACAGGTTATAAAGATATAACGTCAACTATCCGATGTATAATATTATTTTTTAATAAAATTTACCATCTACTTGATAATAGTATAACACCTCACTAGCAACTGGATTTACTGTCTGTCCTTTAGATTTTATCTATGTTTTGACCGTAATAAAAATGTACGTCAATCTTGTTAATTATCATAGGTGAGCATGAACCGTTAATGTAAAAATACTTTGCAGAAACCTTGAATTTTTGCGAGGTATCGTTACGTTATTACTAAAATGGATTGTGACGATCCTTTTTTTAATGAATTGTTTCGATGATGGAGAATTGGCACGAAATTTTAATGATTTTGCCAGATTTAATGAAACACCGATAATTTTTGATGATCCTGAGTAAGTTTCGCTTGCTGCCTATGATGATTCAAAATTATACAAAGCAGAAACTAAATTAATCGCTTTTTTGCAAAAATAAAAAATCGTAGTTGAGTTGAACAATAGTTGCCTTTGAATTATAGGTACGAACTAGTTGATATTAAAAAGGAACAAGTTGTTACTTTCACAAAAATAATAAAACTTCTCATGCAGCCCATGATTTATCTATTATGACTAAACATTGATTTTGATAGCATTATTATGTAGATTCTTAATTAGGAAATCCGAAAGTTTATAAGCGCTGCAGCAGCGTAATATTATCAAGCGTAATTAATGCAAGCGCACCAGGTATATGATTAATAATTATGAACTTGTCATATTTTTCTCATTGGTGCCTCTGGCAGGATCCGCGTAGTAGATAGAAAATTACATACATATTACTGAACATAGGTTATGAATATTGAATTTAGTTAAATGGATCATATATTTTTAATAAAATTATTATTTTTAGCCGTGATCAATTACCAAAAGTGAAGATTGGATTAATATTAGTATTAATTTTTTTTTTTAAAAAAAAAAAAAGATATCAAAAAGCCTTAAGATTCAATCTAATATATTCACACGGTAACATTTAAATTTTTGATTTATTATGGTATTTCAAATAATGATTAGAATTAATATAAAAAATTGGATATTTCCGGATTTTGAATTCTACTAAACATTATTAAATAAATTGAAATAGAGCGGTGATTTGAAAATTATATATTTAGTTTTAGTTTTCTTTTTCGTAAAATGTTTGCTTTCCCCAATCGCTTGCAAGCAATTACATTTGCGTCATGCCTACTATTTAAAATCTTTCATACAATTTTCTTATTTTCCTGATCTTTCCCTTTTTGTTCAGAAGATTTTCGTTGATTAAATAAAGATATAAATCATTGAAATTCGTATACCATTCTTTGCGATACAGTTTAATAAAGAATACCATATCTCTTCATTTTCAACTTTTGATTAGCATTATATCTAAGAACTAAACTTATGGTAATTATTTTTTACAATACAGTTATAATTAGAACCAAACCACCATTCTTCCTTATAGAAAATTTTTGCGATGGTCTTATACAATTTTTCAATTGTTTATAAGATTCAGCATCCTTGATTCGTTCATGAAGATATTACTTTCTATGACGTGAGCCTAATCCAAGAATTGAGGAAATTTAATATCAGTGACCACTAAACAATTTATTTTACGAATCTTTAAAAATTCACTTACAACAAGTATTAACAGTTGCAATTAAAAGTCCGATGAATTAGCAATATACAGTTGGTCGTTGAATTTCCAAATCGAGTTTTGTTATTTGTGTTTTACTTACGAGAAAAACATTATATTTTTCGCAAGGACAAAGACATTCGCATTTCCAATTATGTTGGAGATCTTTGTAAAAGTTCTTTGATAGACAAAGCTAGTATTTCCATTGTAACATCAATAATCTTGATAAAGTTTCGCTAACATCAAATGAACCATCTTTGTTATAGTTTTCATACAACCATGGTCTTTTGAGGAGTATTTATGAATAAGTACGGTTTATTTTTTTCTATTTCTCTTGCCTTTTTAATATGGCCATATTATAAATATTTCTTTCTCTAATTCAAAGTTGTAAGTTTTTGTTAAAATCTTGCTTTTATTCTTCATATTTTGTCCTAGTCCTCCATATTTACTTGCCAGATTCTAAGAAGGTTTAGCGAAATAGCAATTCCATTGACAATTTTAAGTGTTTCACTGATTTGTCGAATTCAAGAACTTAAATGTATGATCCTGAGAAGTAATATATCATAAATACCAATTGTCCTTGCTCCTTTCAACCTTTTTTCATGACTTGTTGTTACAATATATTTAGAACAAAAGTATTAAAAGTTGATCCAATATTCCACCCTAATTTATTCCCTCAAATATATCCTAGAACGCTCATAATGAATATCCAATGCGTTTTATAATGATGAGGTGCAGTCAGAGTTGTTGGTTGCCATTAATAAATTGCGGGATAATCCCTTGAGTTTCGACGGTACCGTCGAAACTATAATAAATCAATAAAATCATCAAAGTTGAAAAGATATAAAAATCCCTTCGAAAGACAAAAATCGAGACTTTTGCCATTTACTATAGAATATGAAATCGGTTAATTAACCAGTTAATATGGTTAATATTTAAACCGGCTAAAGATATTTTTTTAACCGGTTAAAATAGATGAATATAATTCCGGCCGAAATCCAATTTCTGATCCATAGTTTTCGTAGTCATGTTATTAAGAGAAATGGAACCATTTTGTGAGTTTGATATAAAAGATTTTGATATAAGAGTACAAAATTCGTGGTAACAATGTATAATTCAACAACAAAGTATAATTCTTTAATGATAAAATATTAAAAGAAACAAGTCAAAAAAAGATAATAAATTTTTTATGTTTACCTTAAACTGAATTAAATGGATGGTTGTGTTTCATCGTCAGAATCTTCCAATTTGGCCACAAATTTCTTAAGTGTCATACAATTAATTTATTCAAGATCAATGTTGTGACTGAAATTGATTTTCGTCTGAAGACGATCTTCGAGTATCTGAAATTGAGATTCGAAGATCAGTTAACGAACTCGTGACTTGTTTTGATAAAATAAAATTGCCTTTTCGATGTCAGTATTTTTGTATGTTTTAGGTTGTAAACTTGGATTGTTTAAAAGATCACGAGAAGTATTAAATTTTACGGTCTTCTTTGAATTCATTTTTTGAGAAATAAAATTAAAATAAAAAATTTAAAGATGTACTTTTACGTCATAATAACTGTGAATCACAAATTCATGTGATTTTTCTTATCACGGGCGTTAGTAATCGGGAAATACAATAGTTATTACCGCTCAATCGCCGACATCATCAGGGCTGATGATATCTCTGATTTCGCGGTAAATAACTAATACAAATTTCCCTTGGTGGTAAAACATCCTCGTTTTTTTCTCACTTAGCAGATAATGAATTTCGTATCCGGTCGGAGAATTCGTAAAAGACCTGATATTATTGATCCCAATGTATTTGTATTGGAATTGGAGAAAATATACTAATAGTCATTCAATCAAAAAAAGCGATGCACTCAAAATAAAATAGCATACAAAGTTTCATTGAAAGAATAATATATTTTATTACAGAATTGAATCTATATATTGCGCGGTAATATGTTATTATACATTTTGTTTATTTATTTTTTTGACTTGAAATATTTCATGTTCTTCTATAAAAAAGTAATCTTGTGTTTTTCTAATTTTTTTTTTTTCATAAAAAATTATTTTATACAAATATTTGGTCAAAAAAAGCATATCCATGATGATGGACCACGAGTAAACCAAGTTTTATAGCATTTCGTCATCGTTTGAATATAAAACTTTCCTTTATAACGTAATATGCATTAGGAAATTCCTGAAGGTTTTCCATGAAATAGAATTATACCCTCCAAGAATTTCGTCCCTACATTTTTTTATTTTAATGACTAAACCGAAGAAAGTTTTGGATTTTGAGCGAGTCCCATTTTAGAACATGATCCCAAACAAATTCAATGGAATTAAATAAATTTACTGGCTCTTTTAACATAAATTGTTTTGAAACTCTAAGAAAGATCCATTTTAAAACTCGTCTGTTAAAATTCTTTTTCAATCAATCTACTTTATTTTCAATCAAAATAATTGTATATTTCTTGAATACTATTTCAGCAGCCAAGATATTAATAATATCTGAAATATAATATCCCTCAAAGAAAGTCTTGTTCCGTAAATATACCTTTAAAATAAAAAAATGAATTTAAAATTTAAAAATTTTTTTAAAAAAGCTAAATAAATCCTCATATATAAAGCTACCTCAAGATTACATGAAACTTTCGTAGAATATTTGGTAATTTAATATGTACTAAAGTTCTTTTCTTTGTGGACAAAACTCATTGCAAATAAATAGAACGATCATATGACACAAAATACTTTTACATTTGAATTCATTCCCTACTTCGATTGTAACTTATTATCCTCATAACATTCAGGTAAATTGATAAAATCCTATCATATCATCTTTAATTATAATTTTATTCTTACTTTTTTTTTTTTAATGAAAAATAAAAAGTGTTAAGAAATAAAATTTTAATCTATGTCACATTGTAAATTATTTCGCCACCCTTAAAAGTCGAAATGAAAAAAAAATTAATTCAAAGCAAGTGAATTAGAAATTAAAACGTTCGTAACGGCATTTAAAATACTAAAAAAATTGACTAATGATTGTTGAACGGAATTTCCCAGCAAACCGCAGAAAAGATATATATCGAGGGTTTATCATAATATTATATAAAAGAATGGAAATAGTTCGATTTGGAATTTATTCTTTTACATTTAGAATTGACAATAAAAATATAAAGTCTGAAAGAAGAAAATGGTCTAAAGAAAAATTGATAAAACTGTTCTTGGTATTATATTTGCAATAAACATTTGCGTAAACAATAAAGTTTTTTTCGTTTATATTTATAAACAATTTAGAATATAAGCAATAGGATTTCATAATTAGAAATCAGGCAAATATTGTCAATAAAATAAATTTGTTTGTTTATTTATTTTGGTGATATTCTTATGAGAGAAATTTCAAAATCTTTTGGCAGAATATTCTTTTTTAATGTTCATGAGATAAATTTTATTCAATTGATAATATCAAAAACGCACAGTATTATATAATATTAGTACTAGAAGGAAATTAGTGCTTTCTTTATTATAATGACGTCTCCGTGATACGCGCAGTCATTTCTTCAAAATTAAGGATCATTAGATTCCTTAATGAAAAAGTAAATGTAATGTAATATTATACCTACCTAGCAATGTATCATGGATGCTTATGAGTGTCATTATTATTTTTTTTAAAAAAAAAGTACAAATATTTCTTATTATAATATGTAAGAATAAAGGGAGAAATATAAAAGTTTTAAAATAAATTTAATTATTATAAATAGTATATTAAAATTAAATCATGTAAATGAATAATAGTTTGCAAATAATACTATAATCTCAACATTCATTGAAAGAACTAACAATAATGATAATAATAATGTGGATGAATTGATGAATATTATGGTACTAAAAATTGCATACACGCTTGACCTATTATTGACATTGAAATTGATTACTATTACAGTTGGAATTATGTGTTATA